ATTGCATACTTGAGAGAGAGTGGAAAGGGCAAAAAACGTCTCAGTATTATTATGAAAATAGTTTTGATCTTGCAGGTGGCCCATGAACGGACCCCCCCAGGGGTCCCCAAACCACAGTTTGAAAACCATTGGTCTAAACTTGGGCACATCAGCAACATCTTGAATAAGAGGATGTAATGAGTAAGAGGATGTAACAGCCATTTAAAAAAATTTGAGCCACTGAATTAAAGGGCAGTGTCTTTTTCTAGAGCATTTCTCTACTTACTACTGCTTCCAAAACATCAGTACATTAAAATGCTCTTTCCTGGCAATATGTCAAAGAGAATGACTCTCAAATTCAAATCTGTTTGACCAATGGCTCTGTCTCTTTTTTATCCACTCACTAAATATCTCCCACCCAGTTGTACCTCAAATGCGAAACAGCTAAAATAGTATTTATTTTAAAATGCTTGCTTTTTTCTGACTGTCAGTCATATACACAAACACTTACTATAAGAAAGTTGAAAATATACAGAAAAATTTGTTAAACAACAGACATTTATTTTCTACAGTTATGGATGCTGGAAGTCCCTGATCAAGGTCCAGTAGGGTTGGTTCCTGGTGACAGCTCTCTTCCTGGTCACCTTCTCACTCTGTCCTCATCCGGCCTTTCCTCAGTGTGTTCTCCAGATGGGTGGGGGAATGGAGAGAGCTCTCAGGTGTCTCTTCTCACAGAAAAATATTTTCTTAAATAAGAAACATGAACACCATGTACCTGTCCTCTGAGAAAACCATTGCCAGAATTCTGGGCAATATCTCACAGTCTTTTTTATCATGTATATTTTTAAAATACAGTGACGTTCATATCTTAAAGATAATTTCACGTCTTATTTCAAAACACTATTTTTAGTATGAAAGAATGCATATTGCTAAAGAAAATTTAGAACATACAAGCAAAAAGAAGATAATGCTCTTAATACTTTGATGTGTACCTGCAATCTTTTTCCTGTGGGTAGCCATGTATCTTTTTTAAAAAACAAAATAATGATCAGACTGTACATATTATTATGTAACTTGCCTTCTTCACAATTTACTGAGAACACCTTTCTATATTATCAAATATTACTCCAACCCTCCCTGTCATTTTTATTATATGGATGTACCATGGTTATTATTTTTTAAAAATTACTATTATAACAATATGTGATGAATATCAGCTACATTTTTATACACATCTATGTTAATTCTTACTGAGTTCTAGAAATAGGAGTTTCTGAGTCAATAGGTGTGTGTATATTTGAGGCTTTGATACACATTAGGTCCCTTTGAGAAACGTGTTCTTTCATTAACTGTCAATGAGAGAGCCTGCCAGTCCTATTCGTACCTTTGATGAGTAACTTTTATGAATCTTCATCAATTGTAGAAAATGCCATCTCATCATTTTAATTTGTCTTTCTTTGATAACTGTTGAGATTGGATATTTTCTTATATGTTATTTGCTGATCATATTTCTTCCTTTATTGGTTTTATCTTTCTGTTCTTTGCTCATTTTTATTAGAGGAATCACTCTTATCTTACTAATTTTCAAGAATTTTACATACATCAGCTAAGTTAACTCTCTGTCATATATGTTATAAATATTGCCTGGCTAGTCTCTTGTATTTCAGGATAGTTCAGAATGTCTTCTGATGGAAAGAAATCTTTAGGTTTTAAATACATTTTCTTCCTTTATCACTTCTGCCACTAGAAATTAATAAGGCTCTCCTTATTCCGAGATCATTTAAGTTTTATCTGTATTTTCTTCCCTGTCACTGGCTTTCGAAGGGTGTGGTATTTCTCCGAAGTCTGCCAGGAGGGGAACTTGGCCATTTGCCTTCAGGAAAAAAAATGGGGAGACTCGTTAAATATAGATTGGTCATTGGGTGAAACCACCCAGAGTGTCCTAGAAAGGGGAAGAGAGAGATCTTCCATGTTTACTATCTACCAAATCCTATCCTGTGTCCAGTAACTCTGTTAACTTGCTCTTCAAATAGAAAAAGTTTCAAATGGAGAAAGTTTTAACATTAGGTGTATGTTTAAATATTAAACTCTGGGGTGAGACGACTCCTCGTCTTGGCCAGAACAGAAGCTTTGGACGGCAAAGATCTTTGTTTTGTTCACTGGTGAATTGCAAGCATGGTGCATGGTACGCAGTGGGTACATGACAAATGTGTTGAAGGACCTAGTGTTGAGTTATGTGTCTGCTGGGTGTTAGGTGGGAGAACCAACGGTGGTGAGTTCTGGACTTCCCTGCTTCATATTAAAGAGCTGCAAAGGAAGAAAAACTCTAAATGAAGGCAGAAACTAAATTTCAGTGTTACTCTTCTGTCGACTGTAGAGATTTTGATCTGAGTGTAAAGGTAAAACTGCCTCAAACCTGGCACAGTAAGATATGGTGTTGAAGACTGGAAAACATTCAGCGAAAAAATTCTGTCGGGCATATAGTAAGCAAAACAGCGGCATCCACCCACCAAGAGAGATAAAAGACACTACCCTCCTTCATTTGCTGCTATGGCACTTGTCCAAAGCAGTAGCAATCAGATTTGGCTTTATTTGAACATGACAAGGAAGAAACAGTTCTCAAGAAGATTCACTTTCACTGTGGGGGCAGGGTGGAGAGCGTTCTGTGCAATAACGGAAAAATCAATTATTTTTCAATCAGATGGAGTGTTCTCACAAATTCAAGGCAGAGAACAGCATGCGATCTGCCTTCATGAGAACGATGGCCATGAGGGAAAGAGTTTAGGATTGTAATTCCAAGGTTGCTTTAAAGAGCAGAATGTTGTTCCTGTAAGTGTGCTTTTGTGTATATAGTGGCATGTACTGAATGTACGCCATTCTGCCCAATTTGCCTCCCCCAAATCCCATCCTGTTTAACTTGCCTCCCATTTGGCTATGATTTTCTAAGTAACACACTAAAACCCTCTCTTTACAGCATGTTAACATATAGATAACACATATACATACGAAACACTAACCCTTCTTGTTAACAAAATTTATAATATATCATATATAATAAATATTTGTACCTATTAACAAGAGAATAACCAAGAAAGTAGAAAGGGTAAAGAATTTGGACAAAATTCAAAGTTAAATTCTAATTTTAAAGTTTTTGATCAATATTAAAGATTGGAAAATCAGCTCTTGGAAAAAGATCCAAGGAGAGTGTGAAAGTTGGAAAGATGGTCTTCAAGTCTGCATAGGGCCGGGCAGAAACAGCACCCTGGGGAAATCTGTGCACCCACAATTTCTTTAACGTGTAAGGCTAGAGCATAAAGCCCAGAATGTACAACCACTAAAGTCTGTTTACAATATTTAAAAGGTGAAGAGACGTGAGGGTATCCACTCTGTATAAACCTACAGGTTGGGTATCAACCTGACATATCTCATGTATACCAGCCTCCAGAAAGGGCCCCACGTTCACAATGAGCACTGTGCTCAGACAGACAGCGTGCTGGCTGTCTGAGGACTGGAACTGCACCCCTTCCTGGTGTGTTCCCAGATCCGGGCACAGACTGAAGTTCCAGAATGTGAGGAATGAAGGCTCTACCTGGCTGCCAGCAGTTCACTGACAGGTTATCCCATTAAAATAGTTAGACAAACTGCCAATTCCTGGTGCCCTGTGGCCATTCCTGTGTTTTCTAGAGGGTATCATCTCCAACTGACCCAAAAGAGAGCTGTCAATGCCTAACTGTGGTCAGAATTGCCCTGGTGCATCAGAGGAACAACACTGGACCCCAGGATGCTCCAGCCCTCTCCCCATCTGGACACCTCCCTGGTTAAAGTGTCCCATAACTAGGTGGAGTTTGGGAAGGAAAGAGCGTGATTACCGTGTATGTCCAAGGAAGTGGAAAGTGTACAATTCAAATGTCTCCAGCTTTCTGGGAACACTTCTACTTAGAAAATCAATCACACCCACAAAAATATTTCCAACGTTCTGACTTACATATCCTAATTGATGAGATGACTATCTAGTTTTATTTGTGCTAAGATCTGTTTCCTCCCCAGAGGGTGACCTATTTTTTTTTTTTTTTTTTGTCTTATGCCAAGAAAACCATAAGAAAAATGCTGACCTATGAAGGTTACACATCATGCTTAATCACCACTTTAAATTAAAATAACATAAAATAGAGCATTCACTGGGTCACTCGGGCAGAACATAACCTCCCAAGCAACAGACACACCTACTGAGACACACTTGAAATTTCTAAGGAGTCTGGTTCCCAGCTGTGTGTCAAGAGCCAAACCATGACATCAGGTCTTGCGTTGCCCCAGAGAAACTTAGGGCAGGGCTGAAACAGCATACTGAGCCTGCCAATCTGAGATTTCCCAAGAGCTGTCTTAGCTTTTCACTACACCAAACTGTCAGTGATAGAAGCCAAGATTTGCAGTAACTGCCGTGATAGATCTCCTCTCCTCCTTGGACTCTCTGGCAACAGTGTCTAAGGGACAAGAGTGTCCCCAACACCAAAAAGAACAACAGCAAACATTGATCAAATGCTTATAATGTAGACATGGACTATATTAAACACTGGTACACATATTAATTCACTTCATCCTTATAACAACCCTGTGAGGTGGGTACCATTATCATCAACATTTTACAGATGGGGAAACTGAGGCACAGAACACTTAAGCCACTTTCCCAAGGTCCTCAAAGCTAGTATCTGTAAGAGCTGATATTTAAACCCAGGTAGTTTGGCTCCAGAGCCTCAATCTTCCAATATTCATGCCAGGGCAATTACACTAACAACCAATATTTCAGCTGCTCAGAGGCCTCTGATAAACACAGCTGACACCTTTGGAAGACTACACCACCACCAGTCCCTGTGACCCTGCCTGTCAACACTGCTTGCCAACCTCTGGAATGCTTCTGGCAGGACATGCAACCTCCTCACGCCACAGAAAGTTATCCCATACCCAGGGTAATAAATCATGGTACCATAAAGACACAAAGGATGAGCCTCCAAAGTACCTCTTACCTTGTTCATGCTGTAGGGACTGCAGCAAGGGATCAGACATGTCACAATGCAAGGCAGCTCTTAAAGATTCACCTTGGTCCCGTAGACCTCACTTCCTGCAGCAGACAGCTGCACTGCAAAGACAAAGAGGATATCCATCAGCCGGCGTTCAGGAAGGCCCAGAGCAGTCCCATGTCCAGTGGAACTTTCTGCCACGATAGCAAGGCTCCATGGCTGTGTTATTCAATATGGCAGCCACTAGCCACATGTGGCTACTGAGCGCTTGCAATGTGGCTAGTGCAACTGAGGGCTGAATTTTAAATTTTATGTAATTTTAATTAAAGTTCAATGTAAATAGCCACATGTAACGGTTAGTGGCTACTGTACTGGACAGTGCAGGTCTAGAAGAGTCCAATCAAGAGTCTTGAGGCCACAGACACTGGGCACGCCAGTGTCCGAGGAAAAGCTGGATATTATATGCTCAGAGTGACTGCAGATACACAGGGACAAGAACACTCATTCATTCGATAACTATTTTTTGAGTACTTACTAGGTGCTGAGTACTGAGGATATAGTGATCAGTAAGCCAGAGAGGTCAGTTACATAAGGGTTTCTAGTGCAGGCTTTGGCCTCCTTAGGAAGGGAAAGGATCTAGCATGTGAGTAGCATGTATGCCAAACCTAAATGCCTTCCGTGCTGCCCACAGGAATAAAGGAACAGACCAGCTGGGACTTCCCTGGTGGTCCAATGGTTAGGTCTCCATGCTTCCACTGCAGGGGGCACAGGTTCGATCCCTGGTCAGGGACCTAAGACCTTGCATGCCTCATGGCATGGCCAAAAATAAAAGGAACAGACCAGCATTTGCTAGAGCCTGATTGTACCACTGTCAGGGCTTACTAGCTAGAAGCTTTCACAGAGCTTTTTGGGAGGAAGTGTACCATAAAAGAATTCAGGAGTTCTGTACTGTGGGCCTAATGAAGCAGATGACCCAACGTCTCCTCAATAAGGAAAGGACCCTTAAGGAAATAAGGGTCCATGTTTTAATCCACACTATTGGTTCTTTAGGTAGGTTTTTTGATTCATTTGAATTACATTTTAGAATTGAACAGTCATTGTTCACTTCCAGGATTCCTAATTTGTCAGATATTACGAAAAAATACAGAAAGAAAATATCTTCAACCACATAATTGGATTTGTAGCCTTTTCCTTTGAAAGATGTTTCTGGGTGGATTTGAGAGGAGAACAAAACATGTAAGGTGCCTTATAATCACCTTATTTCTGTATTATTTTTTTCAGGTTGCATCTAGGAAGGATTTATATATCTGAACCTTTCCATAAAGACTGGAATTTGAGGTTTTAGTGGAACCGCAGTGCTTTAAAAATATATTATTTTTAACTATATTAACAATCTAGAAAATGTTCAATAGACAAAGGAAGAAGTACTCAGAATCCCACTAGCCTACCATCACCTCTGGCTCTTAGCAGCCAGCCTTGGTCTGTCGGAGAACAAGACGCATGTCTGCTAACTGAGTCGAGGGCACAGAAGTCCAAGGCTGTAGTCTCCATATTAACAACTTGCACCATGAAGAAAGTGATTTTGCAATATACATTTTCGAAAGATAAACTCCTACTTTGCACACATAACTATTCTTTGAATACAGTATTATTATAAATCAGAAGATAGGGAGAGGAAACGGAAGATCACTCCCTGGCTATTTGAGACACAGAGATTCCAAAGAAAATACCACATTCAGTCATAGCAATGACGTATTTTAACAATGATGTACCACATGGAGAGACCCTGGAATTCTGATTCTGTAGCCTAAACTACATCCAAACCCCCTCATCTGTACATGAGGCCTGAGTAATCACTGTTTCAAAGCCAAGAAAATCCAACATCTAATTCTAACCAACCTTAAAGCGACTGAAAGAAAATTCTCCATGTAACTTTTACCTTCGAATTTCCAGAAACAGATGCTAGTGAATTTCTGGGTTTTAAAGTAGAATTCTATACATGTTAATTCCTTTTTTTGACATATGTATCTGATCTGTTTAAAAACTACAGCCCAACACTTAACTGGGAAGTTTGTCCAAAAGCCTGGTAGAGATGCCTGATGTCACAATTCCATTCAAATGGACACAGTGGTATCAACACAGGAAAGGTGGGCACAAGGAAATAATAACAAACAGACAAGGATTCTTGAACATAATTTCCCCAAGGGAATCCCACCCAGCTCCAATCATTCCACCATCCCCACTCCCTCAGAACCTGCTTATATATAGTTTGCACTCAACTAATTTTGGATCCTCTCATGTTTCCCACCCTCACCAAGTGTTCCTGTCTCATTTTCATGTATGTTGGTTCTATAACAAAGTCAGAATAAAAACTCTTCAAAGGAAATATTAGTCACCTAGAAAGTTCTTAATAAATATTATGAATAGATTTTTTTTCTTTGCTCTCACTCATAAAGCCTAGGATGATGTCATGACTCTTAACGCAGGACCTTAAAAACAATGTTGATAATTGTTGCAAATTGACTTCAGGGTTTTCTTAAAAGAGGAAAATCTTTTCATGTCCAGGATCATAAATCTTAAAAAAAAACTGAATACAGCTATGCAGCGCACGAAACTGTACAATGCACTTTTATATTAATACTCTTATTTAGTACTGAGATCAATCTGAGTGGTAGTTTTCCTAATTAGGACACCAGATGCAGAGAGGAAAAAGAATTCTTCTTAGTCATGCTATAGTAGGCAGTAGACCCTGGGCTGGAAGTGACTTCCCTTAAAGATACTACAGAATTAAAATATGTTCAAAGACCACCAATAAAAAACCTCCCCCAGGGCTTCCCTGGTGGCGCAGTGGTTGAGAATCCGCCTGCCGATGCAGGGGACGCGGGTTTGTGCCCCGGTCCGGGAAGATCCCACATGCCGCGGAGCGGCTGGGCCCGTGAGCCATGGCCGCTGAGCCTGCGCGGCCGGAGCCTGTGCTCCGTAACGGGAGAGACCACAGCAGTGAGAGGCCCGCGTACCGCAAAAAAAAAAACCTCCCCCAATAAAACACACATACACACACTCAAAGACCACCATTAACACAAAACACCTCAGCAAATGGACGACAGAATTAGAAATTGGGTCAGTTTGCTTCTGGACAGCAACAGAGAAGACCGACCTTATTCCATGAAGTTCTTTTGATCTCCTTTGAAACACAGAGAACCTCGTTGTTTTATAGCCAATTCAGCTTATGAAGAAGCTTAGAAAAATCCACAGCTTAAACAATGAGGCTGCCTCTTAAGTATAAAGCCTTGGAGGAAAAGATACCAGAGTTACCATAGTGGAATCAAGGGAGTTTTCTTCTTTATTCTATTTTTCGGTGTTTTTTTCTTTTCTTTTTTTTTTTTTTTTTTTTCGGTTCGGGGGCCCCCCCCCCCCTTTGTTTTCCCCCCTTTCGGGGGCAAGGCCCTGGGACCCGCACGCTCAGCGGCCATGGCTCACGGGCCCAGCCGCTCCGCGGCATGTGGGATCCTCCCAGACCGGGGCACGAACCCGCGTCCCCTGCATCGGCAGGCGGACTCTCAACCACTGCGCCACCAGGGAAGACCTCAGTGTTTTTTTTTTTTAATGGTTCATGAAGCTGGATTCTCCTGATACTAAGCGAAAGGAAAGCACAGATGCCTTTCAAGGGTGGCTGGAGAAAGCCCATCCCAGAGACCAAGGCGTGACTTCTTCCACTCAGTTGCTCCTAACAGGGTTGGTTCAATAAAGCCCAAGGTCAAGCTGAGGCATCTAAAAGGTTAATGAAATGCAATTCGTCTTTCCAGGCGGGTAAAGAAGTGTGGGTAAGCAGGGAGGTGGTGACTGGGGACGTGTAAGAAGAAGAGAGCAAAGAGAGAATGAAAAGAAAAGGTGAAGGCTACAAAGAAAGGAGAAAAGCAAAGGGCAGGCGAACCAACAGAGCCCTGGAGACAGATTCAGCGATGTGGCCGAGTGCCCCTCGCCAGCTGGTCCTCACTGCGGAAGGGACCCAGAGACTCAGGCTTCTGATGACAATGCCGCATCCTATGGCTTCTCTGGGATTATACACTCTCAGGGCCCGAGTGTCAGCAAGTGGGAATTGGAGTAAAGTTAAGCCTGGGCCTACCTGTTTCACCACTATTTATTTACCACCAGTCTCCACCTACCACAGAGAAAAGCGTATGTCGCCTGGATCACTGATAATGGAGTAGAGAGGTATATGGTGAGAACAGCATAAGCCAACTTTATTCTCTTCTCCTTACTCTAAAGAGAAGCTTAAACATGTCAAAGGGCTGTGTGTGTGTGTGTGTGTGTGTGTGTGTGTGTGTGTGTGTGTGTGT